TTGCGCGTCTTAATGCGAGGTTTACTTGTTGAGGGATAGGTGTACACCCATGCCTGGCTGCAAAAAAAAATTGGGATGCTATTATGGTTCTTTACATAAGAGATATGTAGGTTTTTTTATTGGTACTGCTTCCCTAATCTTTGCAGTGGCTTTCGCTTTGTACCAAGCAATTTGATTGTTTCAGGAGCGTATTTAAACAATTATACGGTATTAGCCTCTCTGTAAAGTGTTCATTCATGTTGAAAGTGCAAATATGAGGCTTACTGCGCTCTATCAGTAACCTGTACTACCTAGATACCGGCCAGCACGGGTGGTGGACTTCATCGACAGTAGCAATGCCAGCTGGTAGTTTGGGACGCACTCGGTGCATAGCTCGGAGCACAAAGGTAAGCAAATTTATATTTTCGCTCTACTAGTACTTTCTTCAAGCTTGTGAAGTTTTCGAAGAAATTGTTGAAATCAAGACGAAATAGGAATTTCGGTATGAATAGTTTTTTTCTTATAATATTCTGTAACTTTGCAGGCTTGCATGTAACAATTTCTTTGATTATTTTGTAAAAAAGGTGTTCGATGTTTTGTACATAACCACATTTGAATTTTCTTTAACACTTCTAAATCAAATCGGCATTCACAGCTAAGTCTAAGTTTTTCAACAAGTTTCTATCATTGTTCGGTAAAGGATTATCAACATAGTGGTCTTGATATTAGTGATAAATGACGTGTTAGGTTAAGAGCACGGTAAGCCTTGCAGATAAGGCGCACATGCGCCCACCACGGCTGTCAACCAGAGCTATCGCTCATAAAGTCATCCGGCCAACGACCATGTATACACTCTTGGCGATGGCTCCATCACCGGCTGACCGTGCCATTATCGTTGGCTATCAGCTTGCGACAGCGCTGCTGGAATCACCGACTAGTGATTAAGCTGGCTTACCTGTCAGGGCTCGGTTGCCTCCGCTATCGAGTGTGCGAGCGGAAGTAGTTATTATCAAAATTGCTTGAATTAAGAAAATGCGAGCATATTATCTCACTGCACGTGACAACTAGATATCTTTCAGCATGAGAAAGGATTAGCATTTTGAAGCATAAGCTGTATAGGAAAAATAGTTCAGGGAATTGTTGGACAAGGGCAAAAGTGTTAAATGAAAATTGCAAAAGTTTGACCAACCAAACAGCC